TAGAAAGGCCGATTCTGCTTTTTCAGGTCGTCTTTATCCTGGACCAGCACAACATATATTATATACTATTATATACATACATACATACATATATATATATATATATATATATATATATATATATATATATATATATATATATATATATATATATATATATATATAAAGTCGTTCTACTATACTACAGTAAACGGGATCATCAATTCGTCTTACCTTTTTACTCTCTTTGGTTTCACCTCCATTAGACTTTATATCAGCACTCTACCCAATAAGAACACGAAATCAGTGAACTTTCTAAATCAATTCAAGTATTTAAACCCAAGTCGCAAAACACAATCGACAATCAAGACTAACCAGTTCTTTTTCAACTTCAGCAAAGTCTTCAGCCTCCCTGTCATGTATACTCAGAATATTAACACAATTACATTTAATCACTTATAAAGGATTTAGTTAACCAAATGTTTTTCTGTCGACGGAATTAGAAGATGGTTAAAAAAAATAAAAATCTACCCATCATTAAATGCATCCCACAGAGACCACAAACCAAATCCCAGAAACAATATTGTAGTAATGTGATGAGTCCACTTGCGGGGGATCTGCATACGTAAAACATGAAATATATTTATAACTCTTACCATAAAAACAAGTTTACGGAGTCGTAAAACGATACGTTTTACATGCATAAGGTGGTTGGTTACCAATACCATCCTCCCCAAAAATAACGAGACACATAATTTTTTTATCATTGGTATCATATACATGCATGACTCAGCATAGTATATTTCATTAGCAATTATATCACTTTACATCCACTTACCAGATTCGGAGCAGCCCAGCCAACAACAGCTGACAGTATGGTCATGACCTATTAAAAAAGGAAAAACAAAAAAATTGCTGTCTATTTATGGCCTCGAAAAGTGACGAAAACATAAACAGTTAAAGAGAAAAGAGTAAAGTCTTACTATCAAAGCGCCAAGGCAACCTGACAGCACATACCTTCTGGGATAGCGCATTGCCAATATCTGAAACGACCAGAATATTGTCAGTATATCTTTCGTTTTTTACTTTTTTAAAATCATAAATCGAGGGCAGGGTTAGTACTTAATCGAAGCTTACTCAGTTTCTTTAAAGTGGAGGTAAATCTCGATCTTAATTTCAATTAGTATGACAAGGAGTTTAAGGAGTGAAAATCGTTACTCCTATTCTACGAAATCAGTTATAAGTGTCATGCTATGAAGATCCAACAACCAGCACGTAAGAAACAGAGGTCTAAACACAATAACAGAATATGCCAATCAACACGAGAAAGTAGCTCGTGATTTTATTCAAGCTGATGCAGAAACATTTATTCCGATCATTTGAAGTTTACCCAGAAAATTAAATAAGACGATCTTTTTCTAAGAGATATCCAATTAAATCAATAAGATCGATGCCCAAAAGTTTATTTATCGTTCTGCCATTAATTTGATACTCCAGAAAGAGAAACAATAGAGTTGTTCAAGGACTTGGGCACAAATATTGCAAACATAAACACTAACTACAATTGGGGTCCAGTACTTTATGTCTCTTTATATCCCAAAGAAGAATTAAATAGATTAGATTTCAACAACTCTTTTCTCTTCAGAAGAGATCAATTAAAAGGGTTCGTTTATCCATTGCTACTCTTTATCCATTATCCGTTAAAGCCGATTCATAGTTCATCCTCCATGTTCAATAAAAACTAAAATGACTGTGTTAACATAAAAGAAAACGTAGAAAACAAACTCAACTACAATTCACTGGGCATATTGTATTATTTTTGGTTAGCAAGTATGCGTGATATAAAAGTTTCAGCCGTAAAGCGTCGTATGTGGGGAAACATTTTAATATGTACAACTGATTGGCATCAAAAGCATCAGATTATCCAATGTGATAAAATCAAGTAAATCGAAGAGGAATTTATTCCCCATAAAAAGTGTAAAACGAGACTGTAGTTATTTAAGAGAAATGTGCATAATGCAAGAAACAGCATCCCATTCAGCATACTTTCAAATTTATTCCATTTCTCAGTGTGAATTATCTAACTAATATATTCTCTATCGCAAT